TTTAAAGATGGTAGTTACGCAGATTCTGGACCAGGATGCTTGAGGCATTGAACAGCTTTCTTTCCTCGTGTGTCTGCTAAGAGAGGATATTGTGATTAACCTTCCTGCATTTGAGGACAGACGTTTCGACACAGCAGACTGACTCACACACAGTCACAGAAGAGGGTATTAGAAATAAACTGTCAGAGCTAAAGGTCCATAAGAGTCCCGGCCCTGACATGGTGCATTCCAGAGTGCTAAGAGAGTTGTGCAACGAACTTGCCGAACCCCTGAAGATCCTGTTTTGCAAATGCCTGGATGAACAAAAGGTCCCCACTGATAGGAAAGTGGCTTATGTGAGTCCTAGCTTCAAGAAGGGCGATCGTCACTCTACGAACAACTATAGACCGGTGAGCCTGACCAGCATAATATGTAAACTACTTGAGAGTATTATCAGAGATGCCGCGATGGAACATCTACTACGAAACAACCTTGTAAAGGATTGCCAACACGGTTTTATGCCATGGCGCTCCTGCTTAACATAATTGCTCAAGGTATTGGATATTTGGACCCATATTCTGGAACGGGGTGGTAATATTGACATTATATACCAAGATTTTGCCAAGGCTTTCGACAGTGTACCCCACGAAAGGCTGAAAATCAAATTGGAAGGGTACAGAATTCGGGGAAATGTCCTAGCATGGATAGAAGACTTTCTACATGACCGCAAGCAGTGTGTGGTGATTAATGGCACGAAATTATCATCTGTACCTGTCACAAGCGGGGTACCACACTACCACCACAGGGCAGTGTATTGGGCCCGCGGTTGTTTGTTTGTTTCGTAAATGACATGCCTGATGTTATACACTCCTCCATACAAATGTTTGCCGATGACGCCAAGTTATTTCGGGAAATCAAGAACCATGCGGACTGTGAAGAGCTACAGAAGGATCTCTGTGAGCTCCAAGAATGGTCGAAGAAATGGCTGCTGAGATTCAATGTCACGAAGTGTAAGAGGATGTACCTGGGGAGTACCAACGGTAAGGAGGCGCATCATATGTCCCAACGGGATGAAGAAACTGCACTATTTCAGACTGAATGTGAGAAGGACCTAGGTGTGTATGTTGAAAATGAGCTGAACTTCTCGGGCCATTGCAGGCAAATAAATTATTGGGTCTTATAAGAAGGTCGTTTAGATATCTAGACGGTCCGCCCCTCCTAACGATCTTCAAGAGGGAAGTGCTTCCCCATCTGGAATACTGTCACCCCGTCTGGTCCCCGAGATATGCTAGGGACAGTCAGTTGGTTGAAAATGTTCAAAGGAGGGCCACCAGACTGGTGCCTGCCCTTCGGCACCTCAGCTACCCTGAGAGATTGGAGCGCCTGAACTTGCCTAGCTTATACTACAGATGGGCAAGGAGTGACCTAATTGAGGTGTATAAGCATCTCAAGGGGCATTACTCAGTCGAGTGTCCTTACTAGAGCTGGCGGACGCTCGCCCCACAAGGGGTCACAGTTCAAGATTGAAGAAGCCGCAAGTCCAGAAAACTGTGAGGGCAAACTTTTTCGCAGTGACAGTTGTAACTCTTGGAATAATCTACCAGAAATTGTTGTGACGGCACCGAGTGTGAGCTCTTTCAAGTCAAGACTTGACCAACACTGGAGCGGGTTCAGGTACATTCAGGAGCCGGTGCATGTCCAGTACTCGCCAACAGTGCGTGACAGAGACGTGACCGATCGCCCAAGCGGCTAACAAGCCGATCTTTTGGTGAAGAGGATAAAAGTAAAAGTAAATGTATCTGTACATACTGAACCAGTGTATTGTTGGTCAAGTCTTGTCTTGAAAGAGCTCACACTCAGTTCTGTCACATTTTCTGGCAGGTAGCTCAAATAATTTACAATTCTGAGTACTGTAATTGAGCGAAAACTCGGCTAATTTTCTGTGTCGGTACATATAGCTCTATCTGCTGAGTGTGAGTCATGACGGATGTTGTGATGTTGTGTACGATGTTTTCCGTTTCTTATGAATCAAACAGAAATAACTACGAACAAGCACAGTTTACGGGGGCTGGTGGAAATAGTGTATCTATGACTTAAACAACGGGTTCTTTGACTTCTAATTTGTTGAATAAATTAACATGAATAAAGGTATCTAGGACAAATTATTGCACCATTGTTTACAAAGTTTCTGTCGGCCCAGCCAACGTCAAATATTAAACAAGAAGGAAAACTTTGTGATTTTTTTTCTCGATTAAGACTGTCTCACGAATGAAAGAAAACGAATGGAGTTTACATGATAGAAAATGCAATTTAAAACCATAAAAGATTCACATGTTAAGATAAATTTGTCATGGTTGGGATTTTCGTTATTAAATAAGAAGAAAAAATTTTACAAAAAAAATCACTAATTTTGAACTTCATATGCTTGTGTTCTCGAGTATCTCCTGAATAAGATTTGCCAAACCTTTACCTGTTGTTTCTATTGCGACTAGAAAGCCAATAAAATGCCAGGAAATAAAATTTCAAGAGCAAATCCAGATTTAATTATATTATTGTACAAGACAACGGTAATAATGCAATGCTTTGTTAGGTGCAAATTTTTGTTATAGGACGTATAACACGTATAGCAAAAATTCTCAACTTTATTCCCGAAAGTCTCAGGGGTCCATGGATGGGCTTTGGGCCTTCGCCTAGTCTACCTACGCCTAGGGTCGGCCCTGGCTTTTGATAAGGTAAATTACAAGAAACTTAAAGACCTTGTGTTCCTTAATTGTGCCTGATAGAATGTATAACTTTAGAATAAATGACCCCGTGTGAATAAAGCATTTAAAGGGTTTCTTTCACTTTCCTTTTAAATGACTAAACTGTCTGCCACAGTGTTTAGTGTTTGTATACCTGCATTGTCTATATGTACACGCTGAACAAATGTGGACCTGTATGCCGATTTTATTGAATATCTAGCTATAATAAATATTGAAGCCATGAAGTGTTAACTTAACGCCATCTATTAACATAATTTACACAGACTGTACCATACACACTGCCACATGTCGCTATAAACGTAGATTCCTCTTTTGTTTACATGCTGACGTCCATCCTCTCCTTATTATTCCCAGTGTTACTCAGATTCACGTGAGTCTGTGACATCGGGGGGGAGTTACTGCTTCTCATATCATTTGCAGCTCTTTGGCACTAGCGTACCTAGGGGGCGGTCCGCCCCGGGCGGCACTTTTGGGGGGGCGGCACTTTTGGGTCTGCTCATCACCCATATCTGCAGCTACTGGAGACGTTAATCCATCCCTTTGTATCGGCGGCAAGTTAATCCTTGTCGTGTCTGACCTAACACCTGACCCACATCATCACGGCCACGTCATGAGCTACACCCTTGCTATGCGCCCCCCCCCCGCCACACATACAACCTATAACCTGTTGAGAGAAAAAGACTTCAGCATTTTGTTGCTGTTGCTGCTATAACTATTAAAGACAGAATACAGACGTGGAAAAAAGGCCCCCTTGAACTTTTGCAGTTTATTCAAAAGTATAACCTTGGGAACTCGGTTCCAAATATAGTAATAATGCTGAGGATTTTCCTCACAATTGCTGTTAGTGTTGCTACCTGTGAGAGGAGTTTTTCGAAACTAAAACTGATCAAGAATTACTTAAGATCTACTATGAGCACCTTGCGGTTGAGAAATCTTGCCATACTGTCTATAGAGCGACAATTGACAGATGAAATAGTTTTTGACAATGTCATTGAAGAATTTGCCAACAAAAAACAAGAAAAGTTACTTTGTAGAAAGTTGTAGTTTTCATTTCAGAAATAAAGATGGTCCTAATTTTTTACACTTTTTTTACTTTTTTCCCTATCCTATATGTCGTTTTTGCTTTTTGTTTAACTGTTACTTATAAAGTTTAAGTATGTTTGGTGTGTATTTAAAGCATACTATATTTGAGTATGTGAAAGTACAGTAATATTATAATGGTACACAAACTATTTAATATATATATATATATATATATATATATATATATATATATATATATATATATATATATATATATATATATATATATATATATATAAGAGTGAGTCACTGTGCAATATGTATTTTTTGTGGGGGCACGAGGGGGTGCAACTCAAGTACGCCCCGGGCGGCACACACTCTAGCTACGCCACTGCTCTTTGGATTCCTGTTGACAAGTATTTCTTGGTAAGGACTGAATAATATATAGGCATTTATGGCAAAGTTAAACGTTGCAAGGCATATTGTTGCAGGTTTAAAGGCTTCTTTATACATGGTAAACTTGTTATGGATGTCAGTTTTACCAGCTGGAAGACGTGGAGGATTGTTTCATAGTACTGTGTAGTATACTACTGTAATTTTAATACTTCTTCGAAAGGATTACATAAAAAGCGTGTTTTTTTTACTTGTTAGCGTATGGATTGATATTTGGTAGCTAGTGTTACATACGTTACATAATTGTATAGTTGTGCGTATCAGTCATGATGACAGTTTGTTAAAGTGATTTGAAATTATTCTATAAAAGATAAATGCTATCTTACCTCATGAAAAATCCCCCAAATTGGTAAGTGGTAAAATTTTAATTTCGGCCATCCCTGTATTTAGATATCAAGCATAACCAACCTAACCTAACAGTCACAGAACCCAGAAACTATATCTAACCTAACTGAGGGGGCTTCACCCGCCCCTTTCGGTGGGGGTTAAATTCCCTTATGACCGTAACTAAAATAATATCTGGAAAATATTTAGTTGCCAAGCACGGAAATGAGGAGTTATAGGGATATGACACCCCCCCCCCTCAGTTACCACCAACAATACTTGTTGCACAAAGTGGGCAGGGCTTTGAAATACGTACTATATAGGGGTGTAGGCAAATTGTGGGGTTAAAAAAAAAAAAAAAAAAAATTATGAAATAAAACCTAACAAAACCACCTAACCAGAGAAGGCATTAGGACCTGACCTAACCTCCTAGCCAAGAGGGGCAAAGCCCTTTGGACTCCAGGTGTGTAAAAGACTTACCTTAATTAACAGATGCAGGAGGATAAAGTGATGCCACTTGAATATTGTGTTAAAACACCGTAAACCCACAATTACGAGATCTCTTCCTCTTGGGGAGTGTCTGTCTCTTACTGCAGCACCAAGTATGCTGATGTTCACAATAATGACAGTTGAATCACACCGTAGACATAACTGAAAAAGTGAGAACACCATGAGCCCTTAAAAGTATAATGGTTAACCCTCGTGTAATGAGGATGGCCGACCCAAGGGCCACCTATGCGTGAATTTGTTCAAGGTGTAGAAGCTGTCTCCAACACAACAACTGCACCCTGAGTTAATGAGCTGCAAGGAATAGTCCGGACAGCTCGCCAACTGCACTGGCTTGTCATTAGGGTACCCCAAATACGATCCGCATATCGATTTACATCCAGGCCCCCAATTACTGCTGGGTAGACAGAGAGAAATGGTGTAAAGAAACTTCCTCATAGCTTTTACCCTGCCGGGGATCGAACCCAGGTTTACTCACTTACAAGGCGAGCAGGCTGACCATTACACCACAGGTCACCCTTAAGATATCATCAGCTACAGCTTCGTTTTCAGAAAAGTGCTGAATTTATGCCAATCTGCCAGGCAGTAACCTTCACAAACAAATGCCATCTTGCAACTCCACATTTCAAATTCCAGAGCTTGCACATGCTCACAAGTCTTCTGCTGATTGGCTCACAAGTATCATGTGACATCCAAACTTGCACTAATTGGCTGAGTAATAAATAAGCAATGGATTACCCTGCGAATATGTACTAATTCTGGTAATGTATGAAAACACCACGACCACCAGTTGTATGATTGCGTTAATTTTTTCCCACAGATGTTCTTATCATTAAAGTAAGAATTTTAAAAGAGGCAGTATTAATTAATACCTAATGGAACCCAACCTAACCAACTGAAGAATCCTACCTAACCTTACCTAACTTCTAGACCCCTCTCCATATTAATCAGAAAGTACTTATTTTGATATCTGGTACCAATGAAAACAACTTTGTTGAAATGTCATGGTGTAATTTTACATTTTGTGAACATGGGGGTACAGTGAACCTTCGCTTTACGCGGTTAATTGAACCCACGGCAGCCCGCGTAAAGCGAGAAACGTATAAAGTGAACAACATAACATATGGGATTAATTGAAATAGAGACCGGGCCGACCCCCAAACTCCACTTTTTCCCGACACAATACGTACGTTTTAGTAAAAATAACCTCTTAACTTTATGATGGTATGCACACACACATAATATAGAAGAGAACAATCAATAAGAGAATAATATACTGTAGGTTAGGTTAGAAAAAACAAGGTTAGGTTTAACACTTACGTTAGTAGAAGAGATGGGTCGGCGTACGGGAATGGAGGCTGGTTCCGAGGCAGAGGGCAGGCTAATGGCCCTCAGGTGAGTCATGATCACTGTCATCCACACTTACCAGTGCCTCCCTGGCAAATCCCCCAGTCACCATCACTGTCTCTGTCACTATCACTGGCTTGGGCTGGCTGTGGTGGGTTGCGGGCGAAGAACTCGGTAATGCTTTGTTGACGGCTAGTGTTGATGTTGTCGTGATACACCTTGATGTAGGGCTCCATAGTCTGCAACAGCTGGGTAGTGAAGACTTCATACCGGTTATCGTCAGGGTCGTCGGAAAGGAGGAGCTTGAGTTTCTCTACACACTCGATGGCACCCCTTACATTACTATGCGATAACTTGCGATCTTCTTGGGATGACGCACCACCTGCCTCTTCACTGACGTTGTCATCATCTAACATCTCGTCGGCAGTCACATCAAGATCCCTTATCGCCTCCATAATGTCGTCGTTGGTGGTCTCAGAGAAGCCTGCAGCTGTAACACTCTGTGCAGCTTCTCTGGCAAGGTCCACTGCTACTGCAACAGTCTGAACCTCACTAGTCACAGATTGACTCTGCCTCCCACCTGGAATACCTTGCAACACATGTCTCCATGCGTGACGAACCGTTGCTCAGACAGCTGATCCCATGCCTCCACCAAGAAGTCCACAGCTTTCTTGACGTTGAATTTTCTCCAAAAATGTTTCACAAGTACTTCTTGCTCTGCCAACTGTTGTTCCTCTTCCTCTTCGCTCTTGCTATCGGTGTCACCCAGATTACGCAACTCATCCTTGGTGTTGGTATAGTCGTTCAGGAGATTAAACTTCTTTGCAGAGAATGCAGCTTTCACATTGCAGATTAATTCTTGATCCATGGGCTGTATTAATGACGTAGTGTTGGGAGGAAGGAAGACCACTTTTACGTTGGGGTGACGATCCACCAGTAGGGGCGAGTGTCCTGGTGCGTTGTCAAGCAGCAACAAAATCTTGAATGGAGCATTCTGTTGCTCACAGAATTTCTTCACGTCGGGAACGAAACAATCATCAAACCAGAAGAGGGACAGAGTAGAGAACATCCACGCCTTATGTGCGGTCAGCCAGTGGACATTTAGCTTGGTCATGTCCATGCTCTTGTAGGCGTGCGGCTTGCAGGCTGTGTGGATCACCAATAACTTGAGTTTACAGGTACCGGAGGCATTGGTGGTAAACGGAACGGTGATGCGCTCCTTCTGCAACTTCCGGCCCCGACACTTGCTGGCATTCTTCACAACGAAGGTCTTAGAAGGTAGCTTTTTCCAAAAAAAGACCCGATTCGTCCATGTTAAACACCTGGTCGTCGGTATTCTGTCCTTCCTCCATAATCTCACGTGAAAACCGAGGAAAATCACTAGCCGCAACACGGTCAGCACTAGCTTCTTCACCAATGTTAATGTTGGTGATCTTGTTCCTCTTCATAAACCTCTGCAACCACCCAGAGGAAGCATTGAAGGGTTTGGGCTCTGCAATTCCCATCTTACATGACACTGCAGCATACAGTTCATGTGCGTATTGTACTGTATTGGCGGACTAATACTACAGCTGGTTGACCGCCAAGTGCAAGCGAAAACTTGTTGAGGTCGGCTCGTAAGAAACTCGTTAACCGAGGGATTGCTCGTTAACCGAAGTTAAGAATCTTATGGAAGGTAACTCGTTAACCGAAATCTCGTTAACCGAGGCGCTCGTTAACCGAGGGATCACTGTGTGTGTGTATATATATATATATATATATATATATATATATATATATATATATATATATATATATATATATATATATATATATATATATATATATATATATATATATACACAGGTATATATACATATATATATATAGTCATGCGCAGGTTAACATCCAACCGAACAACGTCTGATCATATATACGTCCGTGCCCCCTCCCCCCCAAAAAAAACACTTCCGTGACGCCTGCTGGACCACCACTCCACGTCCCCCTGACGGAGACACGATGATCCCCCCCATACTAGCCAGATTTTATGTATTAAAGGAATATCCTTCTTTCCTTAGGCTTTAGTAAGCAATTGCCTCCAGGTATAATGTTAACCTACATCTATTGAGGATAAATATCTTTCATCTACAAATTAACAATAACACTTTTGCTGTAACCAGACTTATCTAGTTGTCTCAATAATTGCAAACCCAGTTGCAATTGGGGTTGCCATTTCAAATTCTGTGTCATTACTGAGGAATGACGAAGTCTCTGGTGCACTCTAAGATTGAGAGAAAATGGAGGACTCAGGCGTCCTGAAGCGAGAGAAAACGGACTCCTATGACGGGGCCCTCAAATATAGAAAGACATAGCTACATGTCTTGTGGACTACCCACTGTACAGTATTGAGCGTACCCTTTTCATCACTTTGTAATAAACCTACTCATGCCTATGTGTGTTTCTGATAATTACCGTAACATTATATCTTTAGTGGGTCTGAATGAAAGCGGTTGTACAAACACAAGCACTCACACAAGCCACTCAGACTTACAGACTTGACAAGTTTTACCAACCATAATGACAGTTGAAGCTTTAAAAATCACTCACAATGGATCTTGAATATTCCAACTGTACTCAGACATACAGTATCTAAGTTGCCTCAACAATTGCAACCCCAGTTGCAATATAAAATTCTGTCATTACTAGGGAATAACGCAGTCTCGGGTGCACTCTAAGATTGAGAGAAAACGGATGACTCAGGCGTCCTGAAGCGAGAGAAAACGGACTCCTATGACGGGTCACTCAAATAAAGAAAGACAGCTACATGTTTTGTGGACTACAGTATTGAGCATACCCCTTTCATCACTTTGTAATAAACCTAGCCATGCCTATGCCGCTTTATCATGTGACGAAAGCTTCCCCCACTTATACAATTTGGGACTGGCAAAAATTTAAAGTACACCCTCCCGGAGTCAGCTAGGGCAACCACATCCCCTTAGAGCTGTCCTTACCAAGTTGAGGTAGGAACTGTTATAGTTATTTTCAACTTGTAATTTTGGGTACATAAACATGACTTTGTTCATATTTTTTCATTCAGTTACATCCACACACAATCCTACATACAGAAAGTACCCAAAATAGTTATCACAAGGTCAAAAATGTAAAGGGAATAAACATTTCTTCATGTATCAGCGAAAGTTAGCAGATGAGAGGGGGTTATGTTATGATTATTTTTCAACTACACAAATAATGTGCAAAGAAGTTAATGAAATAACTATCATAAGGGTCAAAAGAGGAAGCCGGGCTGCATCACTATGGCGATGCTTTTGGCTGGCCATGCTTGAAGCAGTCAGCTTCTATGCAAATGGTGCCGCTGGCGGCTGTGTTAAACTGTGATTTGTATTTTCCCTAATAGTTTTAGCTGCATATTTTCATCTAGAATTCTAGATAGTACAGTCGACCCTCGTTAATTCGGACCCCTTCAATCCGGATTTCGGATAAATCGGACGAAATCTGAACTGTCCGTATCAAATTTCTGGTTCTGGAATTGTCCCAGTTGCAATTGGGGTTGCAATTTCAAATTCTGTGTCACTACTAAGGAATAACATAGTCTCTGGTGCACTGCACCCTAAGATTAAGAGAAAACGGACGACTCAGGCGTCCTGAAATGAGAGAAAACGGACTCCTATGACGGGGTACTGAAATAAACATACACATAGCTACATGTTTTGTGGACTACCCACTGTACAGTATTCTTTTCACCACTTTGTAATAAACCTAGTCATGCCTATGTGTGTTTCTGATAATTACCATAACATTATATATTTATATATTTAGCGGTTGTACAAACACAAGGCCTCACACATGCCACTCAAACTGACAGACTTGACAAGTTTTACCAACAATAAAGATAGTTGAAGCTTTAAACATCACTCACAATGGATCTTGAAAATTCCAACTGTAATCAGACATACCTAAGTTGCCTCAACAATTGCAACCCCAGTTGCAATATCAAGTTTTGTGTCATTACTAAGGAATAACGAAGTCTCTGGCGTCCTGAAATTAGAGAAAACGGACTCCTATGACGGGGCACTCAAATAAACATACACATAGCTGTATAATGCAATATTATGCAATATTAACCCCTAAATCGGTTAATTCGGCTAAAACGGACACCCTTCCCCCCCTATTTGTCCGTTTTAACGAGGGTAGACTTTTCATGAATATTTTTAATGTGATAGGTAGTAAATTACAGTATTTGAGGACTATCATTAGTTGCTTATGTTTTTTTGTTGTTCACGAACCGATTTCATTTTTGGGGGTATGATAATGGGGATTTCTTGTCATTGGGGAATCTAATCTTATTTTTCCCATGTGTTCTTCTATTCGTTATATGAAAACTCACTTAACGAATGGATTTCAAAAACCTAACCCATTCATATAGCGAGGATACCTGTACAAAACTAATTTACTTATTTACTATTATCCACACCTAGCTCACTCTTTTAAAGGATTCATACCTAAATCTGAACTCTATCTGATGGACTACAACTGTGTTTCATCCATGCATCAATAGCTGAAAACTTACCCTCCAGTACAACTAACCAACACAAGAAATATAAGAGCCACTTACACTGGAGCATCTTCCTTCTTCTTTTTCTTTTCTTTAAGCCCTCATATCTGGCCATTGCCAAGAGTGAAGGAGTATGGGATATTACAGTGTAGGAACTTAGGACCTTCTGCTAGAACCTCCTTGCTTCCACCTTTGCTAGCTATGAGCTATAAAAATTCAGTAACTTATTAGTTTTTAGTCCAAAACTCATTATAAAAGATGATGACCTGTTTCCAAGTCAAAGCTTAGTTGCAACACCATTGAATTGAATTGAATGAATTGTCTTAACATGTACTTTGGCTTTGACCTTGTTCTTGAAGATGACCTTACATTAAAAGTTAAGAATTCTTAAAAAAATTCACCTTTATATACCATAAGAATACAGGTTGTACTCTCTAGTCCGGCAACCTCGGAACCTGACCAGTGCCGGACCATGGAAATTCACCCTTTTCCTGGATAGGTAGTGACTTGTGTTTATACTTGGAAGCAGTAGCACCACTTTCTCTGCATCATGGTCTCTTTGAAGACATATTGAAGGGTTAAATGTCGTATAGTAGCTTTTCAAATTTTAATTCAACGTATTTTATTGGAACACAAACAAAAAAATAAATAAATAAAAATTTTGATGGCGGAAACTTGAATTTCGACGGGTTTGAATGGCCCGCCAATGTGCAGACGAAGTGCATAATCGTGTAAACAGCGTCATTTCTCTTATGTACAAAAGATTCATTATTGTTTATTACTGAATGTCTTTTTTATTGAATTAATGTTTATGTGTGCAAAATGAGCAATACAATTCATAAATAATACGTAGAATATTAAAACACACGAGGAAATGACAGCATTGTTTTCGTTGATTACAAAACCAGTGACTGACTGGTTCTACATACCGTATAAAACTGAAGAAAATAAGACTGGTTGTAGCTGTAGTAAAATTAATATGGTTGTTTTAAGCAATGTTATTTAATGTTAATAAATGGAACAATAGAAGTAGCTAACGATGATGGTAAAGAAAAAAGAGAGATCGCGTATGTAAGTGCACACACGTGAAAACATATCGTTATTACTTTACATAAGAATATGAAAGCAACACTTATTTACTGTTCATATATATTTTAATTAATGTTTCTGAATTTGTTTTTATTGAATTAATGTTTGTGTGTGCAAAATTAACAAGACAATTTATTAATATGTAATACGTGGAATATTAAAACACACGAGGAGACGAGACGGCTGCCGGCATTGTTTATGTTAAAGCTTACAAAACCAGTGACTGATTGGTTCTACATATAAAACTGAAGAAAATAAGACCCTGATTGTAGCTGTAGTAAAATTAATGTAAAAAAATTAATATGGTTGTTTGAAGTACCTGTAATGTTATTTAATGTTAATAAATGGAACAATATAAGTAACTAACCATTAATGGTACAAAAAAGTGAGACTGCCTTATGTAAGTGCGCACACGTGAAAACATATCGTCATTACTCTATATAAAAATATGAAAGCAACACTTATTTACTGCTCATATATACTGAAGGGTTAAATGTTGTACTCTGTATAGACAAGCAGAGAGAGAGAGCAGCCGAACTGCCGGATGTAAACAAACCTTAATTTCCCGCGGCTTTGTTGGCTTTTTTTTTACGGGGATTAGCCCACCCGGGCATAGGTCACTGACCCACATTGGGGCCTGAGGGGCAAAATTTTAATACTCCTTTAATAACAATAATAATTCAGATAAAAAAAAAAAAAAAAAAACTGCCCACCTACCTATTGGACAAACTAAAATCGTTCCGGACCACGGGAGTTTCCGGACCACAGAATGCCGGACTAGAGAGGTACAACCTGTACTGTAATGTGACCTGTAAAAACTTATGATATAAAAACTTACATCATCAGTCAGATATTGTACTGATAAGGATTATTGAAGGGATGCTCCTTATCTTCAGGTACAACAATGAGGTTGTAAAAAGCAATTGGGCCATATTTCTCCGAGGCCTGAGGCAGGATCATGGCAATCTCACGATCACCTTTCACTCCACAGAACTCTGACTTCACCATAGGCTGGGGAGGTATCGGAGAAAACTTGGTATTATACACTTAAACGAACTTGAGAATGGAGAGTGAAAGTTGGTCAAGGTTTACCACATTCATCTGTATGTTTGTTTACAGGTGCACATGCAGAAACTGTGTTCAGATGTTGACAGAAGAATCTGTTTAGTGTCAAGAGCAGGAGAAAGGGAGAGAAGGCGTGTCAGTAAAAGAATGAACCCGTTAAGAACAACCACTGGTGAATAATCCAAAAGTGCTTGGCTCTAATTTACACCATAATTCTGACAGGGTATGACTCTCCCACAAGGGTTTCAACAAAGTCACTGGTCAGGGAAAAATGAATATTCCTGATACTGCATTAATGAACAAGATAATCTCACATAAATATCCTAACGGAGTTGTAACTATCATTTATGCAGGTGACATCTTAATTCAAGGAAATTATGTAAAAAAAAATATGCTGACTGTTTTAGATAATTTTAGTGTTCTTTCTCAAAAACAAAAACATAAGTGGGGGGGGGGCTTGTCATTAATGAAAAAAAAGGTTGGATATAAAGGAAGATGAACTGAATATACATGATATAAATGATGACTTAAAAAATAAAAGGACCTTCAGGCTGCACGGTAAGAGACAAGAGGATACATGAAAGGATTAATAAACATAATTAAAAAAATTAATTTGACAGACTGGTGTAGAGCTGTTCAGAAAAGTTGTTAAGATCCACCCTGGGAAGAATGAGAACAAGAGTTAAGATAGTTCCTCTCACAATGTATGGGAATAGGATTTATTAATTCACCTAAAATAAACACATTGAATGTATATTGTGAAGGTTCAGCTGTGTCACAGGCAAGATGTGGGATCCTTATAAGGCAGTACAGTTACACAGAACAAGTTACAGGACTAATGATGCCAAAATTAGACTCTGGCTGAACACTTATATCATCATCATAAGCTGAGTTATATGCAATTTTAGTAGGATTGGAAAATGTTGCAATGAGGACTAAAGATCCATCTTTTTTAAGACAGTAGGGCAGCTTTGGATTTTTTGATCAGCGGGAGCCCAATCTTTGAACACATTCTCGGTTGTTGTCGCAAATTGGTGAATGAAATAAGAAAAAAGTCAGTGTTGGATTTGTAAGGGTCCCTTCACATGTGGGTTTTGATCTTAATGAAGCAGTAGTTATGATGGCCAAGAGAGCCACTGAAAAGACTGAAGCTGACATAATATGTGTAAAACCTTGAAACAACTAAGGAGCAAATTATGGAAAATACAATCAAAGAAAATAATTTAAAAAGGAATGGGATATATGAAAAGAGTGAAACAAGGAAGTATTACCATCCTCTTCATGAACACAGATTTTACATTACTGTATGGGAAATATATGAGAAGGTGGAAAGATTCAGTGTATATGAGGTTAACATAAGGATATAAATATCACTGGGAACTTGAAGCTGAGAGAAGTGAACATGAAAAAGAATGAAGAGTCTGTAGAACATCCACACTCTTCCATATTATACTTGTACACTGCAGTGGTCCCCAACCTTCTGTAGGCTCTGTGCTACATTTATCATTGTATATATAGTGGAGGGCAACAAAATTTGGATCTACATTCAAGAAAAAAATCTCACATGTACTGTTCATTTATTTACAGTTTTACACATTTAATCATTACCAGTCACATACTTTTTACCTTTACTCTTGGACAGGATGTGTGTATTTACCCCAGTGAGAAGGCTGGCTCTCTTTCTGGGCCCGGTCTGGGGGAAATGCACAAGTCCTGTATAGTACACAACAGACTCAGGACAAACGTGCAGTTCCTCTCTCTCTCTCTCTCTCTTTCTCTCAAACTATAAAGCTGTATCAAGTTACAGTATTATATATTTTCATTAATTTCACTCTTACAAAGAATCGCAAAAAAATCACAAATTTCTAATAAACCCGTGCGGGCTCCATAATATGATTCTGTGAAGCCATGGTGCCTGCGAACTACAGGTTGGGGACCACTGCTCTACAGTACGTACAGTATACTGGAATGTCCATTGCTCAATATATATAGAAATGCACAGATAAATAATGTGTCCAAACAAGTAGAAAGGTTGTGTAGACGTGGAAAAATTGGTAAAATTTTAAAAAAATAAATAAAATAATTGTATAGACTCTTTGCATTTAGAATATGACTAATGTATTTTTTATAATGTAATTAATCTTATGTTATGTACCGGATTTATGTGAGCCTAAGAGGGACATTCTTAGAATGAGGTGGGGATGACTTTTGTCACCTCATCCCTTTGAGATGTATTTTTTATCCCAATAAATGTATCAATAAATCAATGCCAGCTCAGAGATACAAAATTACTGTATATACTACAGTAATTTGCACTTTAGCAAAAATTATAGGACTGAGTTTGCAAATGCAGTGAACGATGTCAAATTGTTCCCAGAACTGTTGAACGGCATTTTTTTTAGCATTCCGAGAAATTCTGGGAAAAATATCTCCATTCCGGGTATAGGAAAGAATTTCTGAGATTGCATCAAGTTTCTGATGCAGGGACGCATGCCGGGCATGTGGGTGAGTAGGTCCAGAGTGCTCGTGAGATATGATCAGCCACTGCTGTCATGTGATTGTATGGGATGCCTATGAATGGCTAATGTATCTCGCAGCTTATCTCCTCAAACTTTTAATTCACTGTGTGCTGTCATTGTACAGTACTGTATAAGGTTATCTGCACTCTCTCATTACTGTTTTTGCCTATGATCTGTGTTGTGCAGTACAGTACTGTACATTACTGTGCCACCATAGAATCAGCCAAGAATACTGTTGTACTGTTAAAGCAGTGTTAAGACATGAAAATGGATATGACAATGCACAGAACCTAACAGATCCTGACCTAACCAACCTTATCTTAAGCAACTACCTATCCAGGGGCTCTGACCTCAGGCATATTAGGTTAACAGAACTTACAGTACTTTGATATTTGGTACCAACGAAAGCAATTTTCTTGAAGTGACATTGCAATTTTATTTTTTTGTAGACGTAAGAGTATGATCGGTTGTTGCACTGAAACATATATTTCTTCTTCACTGTCAGTTCTTTGCTGCATTTTGAACAATTGCATGTCCTGCCAACTAGTCCATGTGGAGAGATGAACTCTTGAAGATGGTCTGCATCCTCCACAAGCACAGATAACTTGTGATACACTACCGAACATGACACGATAACAATGTCATTAATACACAACTTGGCTTTCTTCTCCCTCAATTCTCCTTGAACAAGAATTATAAGAACTTACAGTTCACTTCATCTCCAATTACTGTATACAGTACTCCAAAGAAATTGGAAATGTACCTAAAACTATAATATGGGGATCGAATCCAAAAAGAGAGAAAAATATGGGACTTGCGCAAGCCAATAGACTCACAAATCTGGATAGTGAACCCTATAACACGAAAAAAGATAATCATGCCTATATTTTTATGGTGATGATTATTTACAAGTTCCCTCATCCTTCAATGCCATGCCCACTATAGATGATTCATGATCGTATAGAGAAAAATTGGTATTATTTTACTTTCAGACATAGCATACCTGAAAGTTATAAACTACTTAAACATTTCGATCACCGTATTCTGAGCATTTTGAACCCCCATATATACAGTACATGGCAGAAATGAATAATAACAACACAATTGAATTTAATTGATTTTAGGAACTTTTCAGTCTTTGTCTGTCAGGACATGTTATTGCCGTGAAACCGAGTTAGTTGTGGATCACTCAGGCGCAATACAGATAGACCCCGACTTACGACGGGGTTAGGGACCCAATTCCAGGTCGTAAGTCCGACATGGTCGTAAGACTGACATAGATAATTTTTTTTTTTTTTTTTAAATAAATAATCTACAATGAAATACAGTACAGTAAAAGTAATGAATAATGAAGAATGGATACAGTACAGTGAAAGTAATAAATAATAAGGAATGGTTACAGTGTGACTGAGCACTTACCTTTAATGTAGTCAGCTGAATGCACATGGGGCCCCCATAATTTTCTAATTATACATGGAGACTACATTAACTGGAAACGTTTCGGTATAGAAAATGCGTGTCATTTGAAAAAAAAAAAAAAAATCTGTCGTAAGTCCCGACGGTCGTAAGTCCCGACGGTCGTAAGTCGTAGCAGTCGTAAGTCGGGGTCTGACTGTATTGACTGACGTTATCTAGCCGTGACCAATGATGTATCGATATCACCCTGCCAATTTTTTTTTACCAATCACATTTGCATTTTTCAAAGCAGCCTGGGTAAGGATTTGAAAATCTATGGCTTGGAAATTCAATCAGTGTGACAATGGCCGTGGTCAAGGTTGGGTGTCAATCGTGCCCCTATGATTATTTTAAGTTTATTGCTGAATTTTACGAAAAAGGCAATAAAGCTATAGAATTTCTACATAACCACAGTGCTTTCCGTAAGTCTGTCGGGTGCCCGCACTGTAAATTTAGAAAGGACAAGCATCAATGATTGTGTAATTGGCCAAGAAGGGTTGTAGATAAAAAAAAGAAAATTTGTAAATACGTGATCGCGGACTTCTAAGTAAGGTATTGTACTTTCGGACATGGCTCGGCCCAAAGGTTAGGTTAGGTTAGATGACTCTTCGTGTTCTCCCCCACCCAAAACCCCGATTTCCCAGGTTTTCCCCCACTATCATTGGGTGGGGGTGGGGGGGGGAATAAAAATTTCCGCCGAAAATGAAGGTCATATTCGTTTAAAACAAAAAATACACGAGATAAACATATTGGTCAACCCCTAGGGATGCATGTCCGAAAATAAAATTTACCGAAAAACAAAAATAAAAACTTGTCATAGCGATTTTATTAGTTAATATCATCCAAAGAACAACTGTGTAAAATATGAACGAATTCCACAAATGGTAAACGTGGAGTAAATGGTTCACATTTTCCAGTTGTTCATTGCATGATACCTATAATAGTAATAATCTTAAATTGACAACATTGTACAGTAGTATTTTTCTTATTAGCCTATCCTTCAATCATAAATCATTTGTTAGTAGGCAGGATATGAAATAAGAAAATAACGCGGTAAAAACACTGCGATCCCTGATCATACAGCAGTAATTTCACGTCTACGTGCTTTGTTGGCGCAGATAATTTTCTTGCAGGTAATTATCTAGGACTAACCCGCGAGCAAAATTGATTGAAAACAATTATAAAAAAAAGACGGATTTTCATTGTTATATTATAGTGGACACTTGTAGTTTGTGGAAATATGTTAAAAAATGGATATTTTTAAAATAAACGCTACTTAACATTGCAGTTATGAAGAACAGACCTACCTAACCTTACCTAACTTCCCCGGTATATTAAACAGAAAGAACTTACTATGATATGGTGAAAATTTTGGCATTTTCTGGACACAAGATGATACGGTCGCATCGGCGCTATGCAGCCCTGGCGGGTTAGTCCTATTTATTAACCTTTTTTGCATAATTAAAGCACCGTTGGATCTCCCATGGCGACCATGTTCTGGTTCACATCGTCTGCTATACAGGAGCATCTGCAATTTTTCTTTGTGTAAAAAAACCAACAATGATCTCAACGGTCAAGTTTATTACGATTACTATTGGATTGGGTAATCCTGGAGCAGATGGCTAACACCAGAAAGCATTTTACGATTACGTTAAATTTTTCCCAAGATGTTCTTTAAATGATAGCAAGTAATAAAAATTATGCGGCAATATGAATTTTGTGACAATACACAGAACCTAATAGAATCTAACCTAACCAACCAAAGAAACCTACCTAACATTACCTAACTTCCTTGACAGGGGACTGACCCCCGCCATGTTACGGTAAACGGAAATTACTTATTTATATATCTGGTACCAATGAAAGCAACTTTGTTGAAGCGTCATGGTCTAACTTTAACTTTTAGTGGAGATGAGAGTACAAACTGAGTAGAAAACAATATGTGCTGGCTAGGCAGATATTTTGGAGTATTTATGATAAATAATAAATTTCTTCACATACAAAGCACGTAGAGATCTTATTTTAGTGTCGTATGATCAATTTTTCACCGTGTTTTACCCTGCAATTTCCCACTTCCTTCAAACCCTGCCCACTTAGTATCATCCATATGACAGCATCTGAAAATTTAGTGCAATTCCATAAAGTCCATCTGGTACTAACCGTCTGCTCTACCTTTGCCCAGACGCCACTATAAACTGGACTACAGTAAACCCTTGCTATACGAGGGGGTTAGGTTCCAGGGAATGGCGCAAATTGGAAAAACAGCGAATAGCAACTTAATACTACCTTAGTGCACTACAGTATACCGTGTATGAGAAACTTAAGTCACCAATACTGCTTACCTTCACATGTGGAAGCTTGGAGCTAGATGAAGTGGTGTTCTGTACAGTAGGATGAAATCTGGTTACTGAACCAGAGATCAGCAGGATCACTGTTGGAAGAGGGTGATGCAGTGTTTTGTTTTTTTTTAGTTGAACAAATTTATTGACAAAGCTTGGAGTACAGTTTGCCAATTCTTAGTAATTCAGTCAGGTCTTGACACTGAAGGTGGTATCACTTCTCATTGCCACGCAGTGGTGGTTGGTTGGTGGAGCGGTGGGTGACCGGATAAAACCCCAAAGGACAAAACCCCAGTCTCATATATAAAATAAAACACTTTTATGTTTAGGTTAGTGTTGATAAATGACAACCCCGTTGGGGTTTTGTCATGGAACCGGAGCGGTGGCAGCAGCTGACCGAGCGAGGGAGGGAAACAAGTGAGCTGGGCACGCGGCTGGTATTTTCTTGAAAACATCTTGATTGGTGGTTGTTTCCTCTTGGTTTTGAGGTTTTTAAACATTTTCTGGTAGGGAGCCAATGCCTGGTTGATTTCTCGGACGATCTTAAGGCTCCGTTCCATGGAAGGGTCGTAGTCAACAATGAAATCAGTTAACACCTTCACATGTCGAAATAGTTCACCAAAATTGGTCAAGCCCCAACCTTCTTGTTGCAATTCCATAATTTCTTCCGCTTCATTTTCCTCGGCACTTTTTACCAACTCTTCCAAGTCCTCTTCTGTCAGTTCCTCTCCATGCCCATTAATCAGCTCTTCCACGTCTCAAGGATTGACCATGTGGCCAGCTGCACTGCCACAGATGAGCGTCACTGTCTCTGGCTGCTTTGAACCCAGGGGCCCGCCTCTCCTGCTTGTTAATATACGTCCTACCAGGTATCTTTTTCCCACATTGACCGGATTCATCGACATTAAAAACTTGCTCTTTCTCTTCTATTATTTTACTTGATTTTGTGGGAAATGCATCTGCGGCTGTGTGGTCAGCTGATGCAGCCTCCCCAGTCAGTTTCACATTATGGAGAGAGAATTTTCTCTTAAAATGCTCGAACCACCCTTTACTAGCACTAAAAGTTGGTTCAATAGCTGCACTAGCCCCTTTACTACCTTCCTTAGCATGGAATCGGTCATACAGGACCTTGGCTTTGTCACGGATGAACTTCTGACTGAGAGGGATGTGGCGGCAGTTCAAGTCCTCAATCCAGATGTTAAGGGCTTTCTCCATCTTCACCATAGCTGTATTCCTCACATTAGCAGCTACCTTGGCAGAAGAGGGGGCACTTAGGGCAACAGCATTACGAATCACCCTCTCTTTCTTCTTGACGTAGCGGACAGTTGATTCATTGATGCCATACTCCCGGCCACATGCGGCAAAGCTTTGGCCGCTCCTAAGTTTGTCCAGCAGTTTTATCTTCTCCACGAGGGTCATGACCTTCTTTTCTCTCTTCACTTGTTTGGGCGCCTTCCCGTGGCTGGATGAAGGTGGTTGGGTGTGTTTGGGAGCCATCACTAGCACGGGGAGCACAGTTGTTAAGAGAGCAGAGTGGCACAGGTGCAAGACGTACAAGTTTATCCCGGATTGAGGCGGAGCTAATGTGGTGGGCCAGGCGCCAGCCTCCCGGGACAAGAGAGACACCTTGTGGGATGCCACAAAACTCGCGCGCTCCCAGTCCCGGCTGGCAACTTTAAAACTACCCCAGACATTCTTGGGTACATCCAGGGTGTCATCCGTGAATAATCGAACGCAGCGAATAAAAAAAACCCGCGAATTAGAAGGGCTTGCTCTATTACCCAGAGTATGGTGTGACTGGTCCGACTAATAACCCAAATGTACCCAAATGTAGCCGCAATGAAGTCAAATAATGGTCCTACATGAATAAATCGGACTGCCAATCACTTCTCGACTAGTATTTGGTGTCACAGTCACAAAAAATTGGGTAAACTTAATTTAATCTGAGTTAATAGATCAAGTGCATGTACCTAACCTAACACAACACAACTCAGATTAAATTAAGTTTACCAATTTTTTGTGACTGTGACACCAAATACTAGTCGAGAAGTGATTGGCAGTCCGATTTATTCATGTAGGACCATTATTTGACTTCATTGCGGCTACATTTGGGTACATTTGGGTAATTAGTCGGACCGTGTTGTGATGGCTCCGAGTATGAGCTCTTTTAAGACCATATAAGGTTCAGATTCATTCAGGGGCTAGTGCATGCCCAGTACTTGCCAACAGTGCGTAACAGAAACGTGACCGATCGCCCAAGCGGCTAACGAGGCGATCAGTGGTGGAGAGAATATAAGTAAGGAAAAAATATAAGAACATTATAAAATGGCGGAATTTAACTTATTATCTACCTTATCATAAACATCAACGTCACCTAAATTTCCATCTGATGACAGAATAATACTCTCAATACAGTAGAATTACTTATGTTGACAAACAACCCTAGCGGAGGTTGACCAACTCTAGCATCACATGTAATAACTTTTTGGGGTAGTGTAGTGACGGTGGTTGACCAACTCTAATATCGCATGTAATAACTTGGAATAATTTAGTCAACGTATGTTCAGATAACTTAATTTGAAGAAAAAAATACTAACACTACTCACCACAGGAGCAAGTATCGATACAATCTTCCTTCCTGGTGTCACTCAGGCATAAAATGATAAAATGCTTACGGGAAAATGATCTCATAAGGACTTATGAATCCACCTCTTGAATAAATTTTGGGAAAATTCACCATAAGGAAAAATTGAAAATCCAAGCCATTAATGAATCTCTGAGAATCTTTGACCCTTCAGTTATCGGTGCATTATTGACGCCATCTGGAAATGCCTTGGGAAAACAGAGTTCTTGCTAATATTTTTCTGGTGATTTATTATGGAATCCAAAGTGACTGACAAACCTCCCAGACAAATAGGCCAATCAGTGGCTAAAAGGATAAAATAAAATAAAATTCACTAGAGTAAAGTAAGTGTTACACAACCATAATAAAAATATAAAGACGTCCTCCCATATAAAAAAATTCATTTTCTTTTATCGCAACAGAGAAAACGGACGTAAATAAACAGATTTGAATTTAAATTACTTTGAATGAGATTAAATGCTGGAATTAAAAGATTTTGAATGAATTTAAAGGTAAAACCGTAGTATTAAACATACCAACCGAGTAGCACTTCGATTAAATGGTTAATAATAACAATAACAATAATATCATAGCTCATTTGCGAGGAAACGCCATAGAAGAAAAGTAACTTGTCGGAACTGTTGATTGTAAGGATAAAATTGCCGAGATTCAATTTGTGGCAATAATAATAATAATAATAATAATAATAACAATAATAATAATAATAATAATAATAACAATAATAATAATAATAATAATAATAATAATAATAATAATAATAATAATAATAATAATAATAATAATAATAATAATAATAATAATAATAATAATAATAATAATAATAATAATAATAATAATAATAATAATAATAATAATAATAATAATAATAATAATAACAATAATAATAATAATAATAATAATAATAATAATAATAATAATAATAATAATAATAATAATAATAATAATAATAACTATGTCTGAAATAATTATTATGTAGTTAATTCAAGACAGTTATATTAAAAAATAACTTTAGCTATAGAAATTTTACTACCAAAGTTCATATAATGGAACTTTAGTCAATTTTTGCAAAACGAATTTTACGTTACAGATTATTAGGAAAAATTATGAGAATAAATGGATTTCAGGATAATAAGGTTTGGTTAGGTTAGATTAGGAGAGGGTAAGGTTAGGTTAGATTAGGTTTGATTTGGTTAGGTTTGATTAGGCTACGTTAGATTAGACTCGGATAAGTTTGGATTGTTCACAATAACTTACCCCACAAGGAGCTACAGCTCTAGGTTGAAGAAGCCACAAGTTCAGAAAATTATAAGAGTAAACTTTTTCGGAGTGGGAATTGTGAGCTCTTGGAACTACCTGTTAGAGAGTGTTGTGACGGCACCGAGTGTGAGCTTTTTCAAGACCAGACTTGACCAACACTGGAGCAGGTTCAGGTACATTCAGGAGCCGGTATATGCCCATTACTTGCTAACAAGCCGATCATTTGGTGAAGAGGATAAAAGGTGGTTACCGTCTTCTACACCTTTACCTTGACTTGTTATCATTGTATTAATCGTATCAATATATAATTGGTTCCAAACATATTACTTTTTACATATACTTACCACAGTCATCCTCGATAGCCTCTACAGAAAGGGTTAACAGTTTTTCAGCATTTCTCTCTGGTAAATTGTTATTGTTATCTGTAAATAAAGATGTTCTTTCTAGTTATGATCATAATACTAACACTGGTAATGTAAAAACAAAATTAATTCAACTACAGTATTCGATTT